TTAGCCCTTAAACATTTTATTATTATAATTATTATTATTTAAAATTATTTCATTAAATATGTGTTTTAAAATAATAATAATTAATTTTATATTAAAAATTGTATTGAAAATTTTTAAAATTTCATTTTTAGGGAATTATTTTTCAAATCAAGATAAAATTATTAATAACTTAAAAATTTTGTTTTTTATCGTCACATTAAAAGATGTTGTTTTTGGTGATGAAATATAGATGTTACAAAAGAATCATTATTTGTGTTTAATTATTTTGTCACAAATAATATTAATTATGACACACATAACCATTACAAATAATATTAATTATGACACACAACCATTGCAAATAAACGAATAATTGTATCCATTTTTTCCATCACTAAAGTTATGATTTTTTGTTATGATTTACAAAATTAGTTATTATTAGTTTTAATGACTCGGTATTTATGACGGACAATAACCCATCAAATTTTAGATACAAATATAATTTGTGACAAAAAAATATAAGTTTTGTTATTGATTTTATCGTTACAAAAAGTTTGATTCCTTGTAGTGATGCTTGATTCCCACGGCAACCCAACAAACTTATTCCTCTTATACTTCAATTCAAGATTAAACAACCAAGGTCAGGGGAGATCGATACAAGAGGAAGAACCTGTCCATTGGAATTATTTCTTTTTGGAAGAACCTGTCAATAGAATTGCAGCTTTAAGTACACCGCTTCAAACATCACCCTCTCAAAAACCAAGAATCAAACCCTAAACCTAATCTTTTAATATGCCGCGCTGGCCTTAATTAAGAAAAGTTATTGCTTGCTCTTGGTTGTTTTTTTGTTTTTTGGCCAAAGGAAAGTTAGAAAACATGGACGGATGAAGAAGGAAAGCAAAATTAAAAGTAAAGAAATATCCCGAAAGATGGGAACAAAAGGTAAAGTTTAATAAAAAAAAATAAAGTAGAATAAATGCATGAATAATAAGAAAGAAATTCACAAAACAACGCTTACCCCCTAACAGCGAAAGAGGGACGCAGGAGTTTTGTTATTATTATTATTATTATTATTATTATTCATTATCAAGATGTTCTCAAATTAATTTTTGTATACTTAAAGAAAATTTTTTTTAAAATAATTTTAAGAACACATTTTCTACATCAATTTAATATATTTAAATATTAACTTTATAACTTAAATTTTAAATTTAATTTATAAGATAATATTTATTTATTAATAAATTTAATATAAGGATAATTGAAAAGGACAAGGGAAGGGATGATTTGGACCAAAACCTCCAACTTACTCACACGACTAAAAAAATTTCGTCTATCCCGTATTTAGGCTAGGCCCAAGTTATGGGCTTAAAAGCAAGCCGAGATAAACCAGTGCTTGGGTTTAGGTTCTTTAGGATTTATGTTAAAGAGAATGAAAAGGACTAAATGACTAAGTTGCCCCACACCTTTTTCAGTCAAAATAAAAAGACATTTTCGTCGTTTTAAACAAAGCATGCTTATGGTGTGATTTGGTTAAGATTTTATTATTTTTTAAATTAATTTAATTTGATTGGGTAATAGAATTTTTAAACTAATTTAATTTATTATTATGTGATAATTA